GTTAAATAATAAGGCGAATGTATGATAACCATAATAATCGGTAAAAAGACAGGTAAGGCCTGGAGTGACGATGCAGGCTGATCGGTGCACGGCAATTGCTCGCATTTCACGATATCGTTGACGCACCCTGTAATGCTCCTGAAGCGTACGTTTCATTAGCACAGCAGGGCTGGCTCTAAGTGCGTCTCTCTCGCACGCATACGGATTAATATACTTTTTCTACTACCTATAACTATACTACCTACGCGGCATTCTCGACTACAGTAGGATTTCCGTCGAGCGATCGCAGTTGCATGCTGTGCTGCATTTTGTTACATGGTGTTAGCACAGACTATAACGATGCACTCGCTGGCGCTATCCAACGCATTGAAACGCAAGGCAACAATTAATCAAACGACGAAAAGCCAGGCCAGCATTGCGAGGTCGGGACGTTAATCCGTGCAAACATTTAGCCCCGCTAAATGTATCTGGTGCAAAGACACTGAGCGTCATTATTGCTGTCATTAATGCTGTCAATTTCAACGACAAAGCCGTAGATTCAGCCGTTTGCGAGATACGGCCAAAATTTCGCGTAATTTCAGAATCCAAGACCGGATATTCCCTGTACGTGGCCCTATGGCAATTCTATCTGTGCCAGCCTCCTCTATAGACCATTCTGAGTTTCTGCGTTAAGAGATTAGCAAGTCTAGCCGCCGAGATTGAAGAAAAAAGAGATTTCGTAGGAAAACCCGGTATGGTACCGGGGAGTCTACATAGAAAAGAAGGTAGAAAGGAACACCATAGAGAGGGAATAAGCACCCACGCTTTCGCAAGTACCAGCCACCCGGAACTCCAACAACCTGAGGAAAAGAATCGAATTTAAGTTGGGCGTATGTATTGTATGTTGCGTATTGCGCTCAGTATTTTATATGAATGTTAAATAATAAGGCGAATGTATGATAACCATAATAATCGGTAGAAAGACAGGTAAGGGCAGTTATGAGCGCGTACAACTAAAATAGATGCATGCAGTGGACTACGCTTAGTATTTGTTGAAACTTAGAAAATCTCAGTTTCTTGTCTCAATTTTTCGAAAATTCGGATTTTACCGACGTTACGTAGCAACACTATCGTTAAAACTTATCACAAACTACAAAACTCCTCAAGGACTATTCGAGGAATAAGAATGTTTATGAAACTTGCGCAACTCTTATCTGATTAATTCTTCCAATGATAACGAAATTAAAGGATCACATCCCGTCGATGCATGGTTAATTGAGAAAGTTATTCTATGTTCACATTTATGAATACCAGACAGAAGAAGAAATTGAATCGACTGCATTCGAACAAACGATATTAGATATTACTCATACCGTATTGTAACATAACAGAACATAAGTCATTTTAAAATGAAATAATATTTGGAATGCATGTTTGGTGAAAAACTTCATGAAAGCAAAGTTCTGCAGACGCAGATTGTCTTCTAATTGCAATAAAAATAATTATGCGAACATTAAGGAAAAAAGAACTCATGGAATCACGCCAAGTTTCATAAACAAAATGCGTGACAAAGGAATGGTTCGTATACCTCAAAGCATCGAATAAAGAGAGCAAATGAATCGAGTGAGATTATAAAGAATATTTCTGTTATACCTATGTGCTTTTCTGATGCAGCATTTTTTAATAAATCATCGTCAATTTTTGGTGACCCTTTTTTTCAGGTCCCTTTCTGGTCAGGATTTTTCGGAAACTTATGACTCGCCATATCGTGCTTTTCTGATGCAGTATACTTTAATAAATCTTCGCCAATTTTTGGTGACCCTTTTTTTCTGGTCCCTTTCTGTTCAGGATTTTTCGGACACTTATGACTCGGCATATTAACCCCAGAAGAGCATCCCAAAACATAGCAAACTCCAACACCATTAGGAAGTTTCTGTGAACGACATAAGTTTAAATTAAAAAACTCTATTGATATACTAACTGTTTGGGCAGGTATTTGTATCACTTATATTTAGTATTTGATGAGAATAATCAGGAAATAACAGACCCATTTACAATAGCGAATAATATGAATACATATTATTGCACAATAGGTGCTAAACTTAGTCAGAAAATGCAGATTATACAACCAATAAAAACATCAAGGCCTCCTTGCAACCCGAACACTATATTAACCACACCTACAAACTGTATAGAAATTAAAGAAATAATCAACAATATGAAATTAAAAACTGGTGGTTTAGATAATATTAACACAAAGACAATATTAACTTTATCGAACCATATTGTTTTACCTCTAGTTTATATAATTAATTTATGTATTGAGAAAGCCACTTGGCCTAGCACTCTAAAATGTTCTGATATTAAACCGATCTTTAAAGCAAAAAAAGACACGAAGTAGAGAATTACAGACCAATATCATTGGTATCAAACATAGCAAAAATATTTGAAGAAGTGATATATCACAGAATATCTGATTTTATAAGAAAATTTGAGATAATTTCTGACAAACAATATGGTTTTATGAAAAATATTGGTACAAAAGATGCCCTTCAAAATATAACAAACTTGATTTATGAAAAACTAGATAGAAGCACTCCAATAGCAATAATTTTTCTTGATCTGGCTAAAGCGTTTGACACGGTAAATCATATGTCACTACTGGACAAACTGTATAACTATGGTATAAGAGGAAGTGTGCATAAACTATTGGAAAGTTACCTAACCAATAGAAGTCAGCGTGTTAAAGTTAATGGCATCGTTAGTGGCTATAAGGAGTTGAAAACAAGTGTTCCCCAAGGAACGATCTTGGGGCCGCTACTGTTTATCATATATGTAAATGATTTGTTAACAGGCATGCCAAATAACGTAATATCATCGTATGCAGATGATACAGCTGTTATAGTTACAGGTAAATGTTGGACCGAAGTTGAGTCAAAAATGAATATTTATATAAATCTGATGTATAAATGGCTGACTCGTAACAAATTATCATTAAATATTGAGAAAACTGTATATATAACTTTTGGAAACTATTGCGATAGTGTTCCAAGTGATTTTGAAGTACACATAGAGGGTAAAGCTCTAAAAAGAGTCGAGCACTGTAAATATTTAGCTGTGATATTTGATTATAAATTGAATTGGGAAAAGCATACAGAGTACCTATTGAATAAAACTAAATACCTAATTTTCGTGTTTCGAAAGTTATCTAAATTTATGAAGAGTGAAACACTCAAAATGTTATACTATGCTTTTCTTCATAGCATAATTAGCTATGGAATGATAGCATGGGGTGGAATGTATGCAAATAATCAAAAGCTAATACAAAACCTGCAAAACAGATTGCTGAAAAATGTAAATAAAAATCAATTTATAATCAATAAGACTCCATTGAATCTAAAACAAATGTTTGCCTATGAATCACTAAATTTTCACTATAAGTATTTACAAGATAAATTCATTAATTCAAATAGCGTGACCAGAAACAAAAACATAATTATCCCGAAAAGATACAAAACTGTTAGCATTAAGAACAGTATCATATGAGA